AGTTGCAGGCCTCAAGGGACATAGAATCTGGTGGGGAAGGGAGAAGAGGCAGCAGACAGCTATGACCTAACCTGATGGGTTGACAGTATTGAAGGGAGATAATCAAGCACCTCAGTTGGCCTGGGAGTAGGGGAGGTCAGGGGAAACTTTAAGAATTTAGGAAATCTTCAGGCTTGAAGGAAAAATCTCACATCATGGGATTCTGGAAATTACTTACATCGAGCTTTATTTATTTCTCTAGAACTCCTGGTCTAAAGGCAATCATGAGGCTGTCTAAAGTTTCCCTCTTAGATTTTAGACAAGTCTGTAGTTATACCCTTTCAGGAACATGAGAATTGAACTTACTTAAAAATTGGAAAAAGATGATGGGGTAGAATGCACTTATCATGTAATTTACCATTTGTAACATTTAGGACTTTATACTATTGTACAATCATCATGACTATCTAGCTCCAGAACATTTTCATCACCCCCAAATGAAACCCTCTACCCACTTTTAATGAGAAAGTGTTTCTTTCAAGGTTACTATATACCTTGGTAATTTATTCTCCCTACAGCTTCAGAAGATTGTTCTGAGGATTAATAGCCTTTGTGAAACTGTTAAGGGCCTTCTGGAAGCAGCCTTTACATAAATTAAAGATATTATGTACTCAGACATTCATTCCAGTGTAGTTTGCAAAAAGTTTGTTTGATAGTTTGATAAATAAATATCCTACTCCTCCCTGCCCCTAGATCTTGACAATCACTAATCTACTTTATATTTCTATGGATTTATCAATTATGAATATTTCACATAAATAGAATTATGCAATTTTTGTGTCTGGCTTCTTTCAATTAGCATAATATTTTCAAGTTTCATCTGTATTGTATTAATACTTCATCTCTTTTTATGGCTGAATAATATTTCATTGTATGGATATACCACATTTTGATTATTTATTCATCAGGCGATAGAGATTTGGATTGTTTCCACTTTTTGACATTGTGAATAGTGCTGCAGGTATTCAAATACAAGGTTTTATTTGAATTCCTGTTTTCATTTACTTGGGGTATACAACCAGGAGTGAAATTGCTGGGTTAAATGGTGATTTTATATTTAGCTTATTAAGGAACTGCCAAACTGCTTTCTAAAGCAGCTGCACCATTTTACTGAACTTACTTTTAATGAGAAAGTGTTTCTTTCAAGGTTACTATGTACCTTGGTAATTTATTCTCTCTACAACTTCAAAAGATTGTTCTGAGGATTAATAACCTTTGTGAAACTGTTAAAGGCCTTCCGAAAGCAGCCTTTATATAAATTAAAGGTATTATGTACTCAGACATTCATTCCAGTGTAGTTTGCAAGGAGTTTGATAGTTCAATAAATTTACATGAAATTCAATCTGGGTAGGTGTGGGCTTTTACAGTCTTACAAGACCTGAAGCTGAAAAGAGACAAATTGAGTTGAATTAGTTTGTCTCTATTTGACCTGTTTTTCCTAATGAGATATTGGAGGCATAAAAAAAGTACTATTCGTTTGAAGTGTGGGCACGCTCATTCTGGTTGTTAGATGCATTAATTGATTTATCTCTATTCAGAACTTTCTAATGAACTGAAACCCAAGATTGCTGTTAATTTAAAGCAGAAGCAAATGCATGGCTAAACAGATGATGTTCGCAGCGTTTAGCAGATTTTAATAATGGTTTCTGAGAGATAATCAAGTGAAAAATCTGAACTATTTTTGTGGCTCTAGACTGTGTTTTTAAAAATTTGTTAAGGGAGACGGACAGCTCTTATTACATGTCTGGTGCATGTGGTGCATTAAGGGGAACTCTTCATCCTGGCAAAGTGTTTACATAGCACCTCTCTCTGTAGCACCTGGGTGGGGGCTTTCTGGGAAAAACCCATTTCCTATGCTTGCATCAATCCATGGCTTGTGTAATGACTCAAGGAGCCAGCAGAAGCTACACAACAGGCACCGAAGCCACAACAGGATAATATCAAGGGCTCTGTCTATGTTTTTCTCTAATTTATCATTTTGAAGTTGCCTGAGGTTAATTATCATCTCTCCATAACCTACTCAAGCCTATGTTGGCTAAGGTGGCACCTTCACATACCTTGACCCAGTAAACACTTGTGAACGAGGTTTACATGTATCAAGTCTTTTAGTGCCTACTATGTGTTAGAAATTTTACCTTTATTTTGTTAGATCCTCACAAAAACCATGTGAAGTGGGTCATACTTTTTTATTAATTTTGGAAATGATGCAGCTCGGTCTCTGAAGGACAAGTAATTAGCAAAACTGAAACGCAAATGGAAGGATAGCTGATTATAAAGCCTGAGATCTTGCTAATGTAACAGTTACCTTCTCAAATAGAATAACAGGGAAATGTAAAAATAACAATAAGTATTAAACATTAAAAAATATGCTCCTTCAAGCCAAGATAAAAGGTACATCATACTATTTAAACAATGTATTGCTTTTATCTGCCCACCACCTAGATGTGAGCTGAGGTTGTTCTGTTCTTCCAGATCCAAATGAATTTGACTGTAACCCCCAATCTCCTGTATGGTAAGAATTCCACATCTTCCCAGGATTTTGAGGGGCTTGCCTTTCTCCTGTTCATCCTGGCTCCAAGCTCCAGGATCGTCTAAGTTAGTTTAGTTTATGGAGCATTCTCTTTTCTTTTCCCTAGGAGTGGAATAAAATAAAAATGGACTGGCTCAAGTCACTTCGGGCTTTAAATACATTTTATTCTTTCTTTATGTGAACCCTGGGCAGAAAAATCCCTCAATGATTCTTGGCACAAACTAGCTTTTTACTACTATGAAATCTTGCTAGAGGTTCTTCCCTAAGAATGTTTTAAATTCTTATTAAGGTAAAGCAAACTAAGGGTGCAGCTGACAGCTTGATTTGAAGAGAGTGGGTGCAAGGATGGAAGAGTCTTGAGAGGTCTGCTCTGTTAACACCTTTGTGTGACAGCTGAGAACTCAGTGGATCAGAGTGGGCTGTGGGTCATTCAAGTTCAATGGCTAGTTGGAGTGTAGGACTTTTATTTCTGTACTCCACCTTACAGCCCATAGATATTTTTCTACTCCCTTTTAGGTTGTGCCTGCCTTTCTCAGGCCACTTTGAGGTGGAAACTAGAGTTTCTGGCATTTCCAAACTCAGCCAGACCTCAGAAACAGATGCAGGGAATCAGGCCACAGTCCTTGAAAAATGTTTTGCCTTAAAAGAAATCTGGAAAGTCTATAACAGCTTTGGGCTATTTTATAGAATATTTCCCTCTTTCTTCTCCTACTTTCACAATCACAAGCAGCCTCTCAAACTGTCACATTTTAGTTTCTCCAGGACCAACAAATTATAAGAAGATGGGAGATTCTAATGACTTTGGCCACAGAAAACCTATTTTAGAAAAGAGTAATGAGAATCTCAATATTCCTGGGTGACATCAGATTCTTGTAAAAAATATTCATCCAATTATAGAAGAAAATTACCATGGAAATAAGAGAAGAGGGTGTTGTTACTTCGGTATGAAACAACAACAAAAAGCCCGTTAGTGCTATAAAGGCAATGACACTGAGTTTCAGAAAACTCTTTATTGCTAACTGCCCATCCTTTAACCATGAGTCTAAATACAAGGACACAATAGTTGAATAACATCAGTCTCTGATTCATTCACCAAGGGGAGATAGAGAATGATTTGCAGTAATCTATTCTCATTTCCTGAACATTTCTGACTGTTCTGCTGCTTCTTTTAACCACTGAAAAGTAATAAACAGCTATATCTTGTATTTTCACAAGAGAAAAGTAAGGGTATGAATTACTTAAAGGACCAAGATGCAAATAAAAATTTCCCAGGGTAGAGGAATGGACTTTTATTAATGTAGATGCATACATTTTGAAGACTTCTCTGTCTTAAATGGTAGCTTAAATTTAAAAACACAAACAAAACCCACAGAACCCAATTTAGCTTATATGAAAAAGTAGATGGAAGAGAGGAGATAATGAAAGCTAGAGTAAGAAAACTGAAGAACAACCAAATATCTTTTTTCATATGATTTTTAAATTGCCTCAGGAATTAACTTAATTTGAGCTAGTGTATATCCATTCCCTGATACAAATTGTCTAATCATATATATTTCTCTACTTTGCCCTGGAGATTGTCCACTCAGGACATTGATAGTTAGCAAGAGTTTTATGCTTTCTGATTTCTATGCTGAGCATGCTACATTTTACCTGTTTGAACTTTGAACCACCAAGTTGATGGATTTTATAATATTCAAAGTGTAATATTTTGTTTTTTAGAATTCACAGAGGGTATTGAGTGTGTACATGAATAAGCCAAGTCCATAAATAAAAATCACTAACATTGATAAAATAAACAATAGTTTTCTTACGGTGGCATATACATTTATCAAGCATAACCAGCCACAGTTAGAAGTGGTAGTTCTTTATAAATTATGTAATATAGTTTTTTAGATAAGTAAATGGAACAAATATTATGACAGACATGGCAATTTAAGGGTACTTCCACCTCAGGCTGGTTGAAGGTTGAAGATTCTGTTTTTAAGCTTCAGTGTCATGAACTCCCTACAGGTAATATGAAGCTTCTGAGGTTTCTCTCTTTCTGGAAGAAGATGCAATACAGTATTGCCAGATGACCTGCACCTTGAAATTACACAGATAAGGGTTGGGATGGCTTTGTAATACTAATTCTGTGATCTTGGCCAAGTCACTTAATCTGAGATCAATTTTTTCCTTTATAAAGTGCATTTAAAATATTTTTCTGATAAACCAGATGAGGAATCTTGACTTAGATACACACAAATTCCCTTTGTAAATTATGAAGAACAATGTATCATACTTGCGAGATTAGAGAATTTGTTTTAGCTCATATTGACACTCCGGAGATGGTAACTGTATTAATCAGCTGCACTACAGTAACAAATAATCCCCAAATTTTAGCAGAGTAGGACACTAAACATTTAATCTTGCCCGTTACCTGTTAATACAGATGGAGCAGCATCTATATGGCAACTGCTTTATTCATGGCAGAGAGAGGGAGATCGAGAATTGGAGAAAACAATGATGCCTCTTCAAGCTTCTGCAGGAACTTGGCAGACTGACATTCCATTGACCAAAGTAAGTCACGTGACCAAGCCTGCCATTAACAAGGAAGGGCAGCATGGAAGTGTCACCAAAGGCTCTTCAAGTCTCATGGCAATTAATTCTCTTATAGGAAAGGGGAGTGTAGAGTGGGGATATAATACATACTGTAACAATAGCTATTGCTATTATTAGAGAGGCCACATGGGGTGGAGAGTAAGAGCATGGAGTTTGAGCCTGGGTTTGTATACTACCTCCAGTATAGGATTATAGGAGTGAGCCACTGCACTTGGCCTCACAAAGCCATCTTGAACCTCTTTGGGAACTCTTTCCAAGATTTTGTGACATAAATCTGCGAAATGACCCATACTGAAGGAGATGTACAGTCTTCTTCTTAATCAATCAAAGAAGCTTTTCAGAATGTTGCCCTATATGGCAAAACTTTCTCCTTTTAGTACCTCATATCTAACCCCTTCCACTTTTAACTCACTGAACTTGATTTTGAATATTGTAGCTCTCTTTGGCCTGGCAAGAAATAAGCTCAGTTTAGTTTTGTCAGCTCTGGTGGTTGTATTTTTATCTAATTTTCTTAAAGATAAGCTGCCTGCCATGAATTTTCCTTTTCTTCTTTTCTGCTTACTGAGAAATGCCTGTTACCTGAAGAGCATGTTGAAGATGGCAGAGCCTCCCTCTAGGTTGTCCTGAAAGAGAAAAGTAATCTTCTTATATAAGTTACTATATTTGGCCACTTTTTGAAAGCAGCATAACTTGTACTCTAACTAGTACTCAACATAAAAGTCTTGGTCTTACAACATACTATTTATACAAGTAAAGCCTCAGCATGGTATCTTGCATATTTGTATGTTCTGAGTCAATGTTTGCTATTATTATTAACAACAAATAGGCTTGTTGACTGACTGAATGAGGACTAGGTATGTAAAATCTATAGTACTGTTATAAAATTTTTGGGGGGATAGGATGAGAATTTTTGGATACCATTTACATCATTCAATAGAAGTGAAGAAAGGAATAGAAAAGCATTGACTGTGATGCACCAATAATTTTTATTTTGAGCATGCATATGCTTAATACCTTTTAAAAATATAGAAAGAACTATTAATATGATCTATTCTTAGCAGGCTCCTAATCTAAATGAAATGATTGCAAGTATTGCAAACCAAGGATAAAAATGCAAGTCTGACAGGTGGTGATCGTTGTTTGCTCTTTTTTTTCTTTTCATCTCTGTTCTCTCTTATTATATATGCAAGAGCTTAAATAAAATGTATCACAAAAATGTTATGAAAGAAAGGCACATGCTATATATTTAGGAGAAATATGTCCAAATGTTAAGGTATAATCTGGTACTCTGATATTCTGCATAAAGGAAATTTCTGAGACCAGTACAGTCACCTTAAGAATGCTTGATTATATATAGTGTTTCTGGTTTAGAAACACCAGTGACTCACTACCATCTTACCTGTGAAGGGCTTCATCTTCTTTTTCTTTTTTTTTTTTTTAAATCCTCATAAAAGAAGAAAGTTGTGATTTTTTAAGTATTAATTCTAAGGGTGATTCAGTTGTCATTTATTCCAACATTACACTTCCTCCTAGAAAATATAAAAGTGAGGAATGGAGAAGGAAGAGACACTGAATGTCTTGGGAAATCGGGAAATGGAGGCAGCCATCTTTCCCTTCCCCGTTATTAACTGCCATTCTGCTGAGGTCAGACAGGACAGGAGATTAGTTGCCCTGCGACGATTCTTTAATGCATCTTTGGGTACCAGTGGCCTCAGGCTCATTTCTAGGAGACATTTGTCAAAGTTTCTGGACCAAGTTTCCTCACAGTGTCCTCAAGGGACTGGCTGAGGAAAAATGGCAGAGCCAGGAAGGAAGCCCCGGAGGCACAGAGTTAACAGCCCGAGGCCAACACTGGTGAACTCTTCATGGACTCACTTTCCCCAGGAGTGGTGAGCTTTACCCTCCAGGGCCACTGAAGTAATTGCTTTCTTGAGATGCTCTTACCTGTGAAAGTAGTCTGTTATCCTCTACACCGGACTTCTTTTGCCCAGGGGTTTGAGTGCTGGAACTGTGCCAATAAGAAGCAGTTTTCTGGAAGCAGAGATAAGATGAGGAGGGAAATTAAAAACTTTTATGAGGTGAGGACAGGATCATTTCCAAAGGGACAGAAGCTTAGAGGAAGGAAGAGAAGAAAGGGAAGAAGGCATAATATTAGGCCGGATCTTTCTAAAAATATCAATGAGCAGTACTCCAATGATGCTATAAAACAAAGGAAACTAACTCTGGATGTGATTTCTTGATCACTGCTCCTTCTGGGATATGGGAAACTTTATCTAACATTAGGGATTTTATGATCAGACTCTTGACATTTCTAATAAGTACATAATGCCTTAATTTTACATTAACCCCTTCAGTGTAATTGATTCAACACATTTTTGGTTGCATTTGGCTTTAGTGTTACTATGTTTTGATTGAAAAAAATAACACATATTTGTCTTAGAATGGGTTCCACAGAAGCTGAGCCTGAGATGGGGATTCTCGTTCAGGTGATCTTCAGCAGAGTCCTCTCAGGAGATGGGGACTGAGGTAGCAGGAGAGGGAACAGGGGAAAGTTAAGCAGGATACAGTCTCAGTTGGAGACCAGCTTCAGTCTGATCCCAAGGGAAGGTCTAGAGCACAAATCACACCATAGAGTTGGTCCTCCCTTAAAGCAAGGAGGCTGGCCTTGGTTTCCTTGTGTCAATCAGTCGTTGACTAAGTTCTGAGGATATAAATTGCCTCCCTGGCAAAAAGACTTCCGTGTGGTCAAGGGCAATTCTCCAGAAAAAAGGACAACCATGAATTATTTATCAGCTGACATACACAGCAACTGGAGGATGTTTCTATAGCTGGAAAAGAGAATAGAAAACTCTGTAACACAATAGGACAAGATAAAGAATGAAGTAGCAATCAAAAACGCGTCCTTATCCAGAGGCAACTTCCATCATATTGAGTAGATTATCCTTCCAGATATGTCTCTGTTCCCCCTCAACTAATGCACATATCAACATCTCCATTCTGCTGCCATTATCTCCAATGTTAATTATTGTGAAAACACTTGATCATTTCTGATGGCACCAAAGGATCCCACTGCTATTTAGTTAACAAAGTCTTTAACTAGTAGGTTTTTCAATTACTACTACTGTGTAACATGTTGCCCTAAACTTAATGGCATAAAACAACCACCATTCTTATAAATGCTCACTGACTCTGAAGGTCACAATTCAGGCAAGGCCAGAAGGATGGCTGTTTTGCTCAGTGATGACTGGCATGGCTGGACTGGAGGATCCGCTGCCATGACAGCACCTTTGGGTGGGGGGTTGGCTGGTGGGGGAAGTCAATCCTACCTCTCGATGGAAAAAATGTCAAAAAAATTGAAGAGACTGAAAAAAAAATCTCCACAGTGAACATTTAGGTTTTTTCCAGTTTTGTATCCTTCCTCATGTTTTGTTGCTAACAATGCCACTATGAATATTCTTATACAAATAATATTTTATACGTGAAACATTATCACCTCAGGGAAAATTCCTTACATGGAATTCCTAGGCAAAAGGGTATGTGTATTTAAAAAAATTTTAATTTATGCTCTGTAGAGAAGTTTCATCAATGTATACTTCCATCGAAAGTATGAGAGTACCTTTGTGTGCACGTGTGTGTTTGTGCGCTGAATTTGTCAGTATCAGGGCTATACTGCATTGGTAAAATGAATTGAGATTTTTTTCATTCTTTTACATTATTTCTGTACTCTCTTTTAAATCATTATTTTTATAGTTGCCTTGATACATTGAAACAAATTTGTCTTTCAAACCATTTGACCAAGTGCATATTTGGGAGTCATTGTTTGTTATAATATGAAATGACCTGTTTATTAATGTGACTTGAATTTCCTTTTTTCCATCCTATTTGTTTTATTTTTTGCTTTTCCTAAGATATTTTTGATCTTCCTTCCCCACACCCCATTATTTTAATGAAATTTTCATTTGGTTCCATGTATCCTTTACCCAGTTTCTCCTAATGGTGATATATTGCATGGCTATGATACAATATCAAACCCAAGAAAGTGACATTGGTACAACCCACAGAACTTATTCAGATTTCACCGATTTTAGATGCACTTATTTGTGTGTTTGTGTGTAGTCCTATGCAACTTTTATCACATGTGTAGATTCACCACCACAATCAAGATACAGAGCTATTTTATCAACAAAAGGCTTCTGTGCTAACCCTTTAGAGTCATAATAACATTCTTTCTCTGCTCCTAACCTCTGGCAACCACTAATTTGTTATGCATCTCTATAATTTTTTATTTCAATAATGCTATATAAATGGAATCATACAATATGTCACCTTTTGGAATTGTTTTTCTTCTAGGTTGTTGGATGCTTCACAAATTCATTCCTTTTTATTGTTGTGTAGTATTCCCTGGTATGGATGAATCAGTTTGTTTAAACTTTTACTTATTGAAGAATATTAGGTATGTTTCTAGCTTTTGTCTTTTATAAATGAGGCTGCTATAAATAACTATGTACAGGCTTTTATGTGAACATAAGTTTTCATTTCTCTGGCATAATGCTCAGGGACACAATTATTGAGTCATATGGTAGTTTCATGTTTGGTTTTCCAAGAAACAGCCAATCTTTTTCCAGAGTAGCAGTACCATTTTCCATTCCTACCAGCAATATATGAGTGATTCAGTTTCTCTGTGTTTTCCCCACTTTCTGGTATTATCACTATTTTTTATTTTAGCTATTTGGATAGGTGTGTAATGTCTCATTGTGGTTCTAATTTGCACGTAATGTTGAAAATCTTTTCATGGGCTTATATACCATCTGTATATCCTCTTCAGGAAAATATCTGTTTGTGTATTTTGCCCACTTTCTAATTGGGTTGCTTGCCTTCATTTTTTTTCTCTTTGTACTGCCATGGCTATAAACGCCCTTTAAAAAAAAAACTGTTGAGTTTTGAGAGCTCTTTACATA